GTTGTTGTTAGGTGGCATCGAGTCAAGTAAGACCAATGGCGACTCTAGGAACAAAGATCTGAACCCTGTTTTATCCTGCGCCATCCTCATAATCTCTGACACTCTTGAGTCCATTGCTGCAGTCACCATGCCAATCTACCTTGCTGAAGCTCTTTCTGTCTTTCACCATCCAGCTACTCTTCCGGGAATGATGTCCTACTCCAAGGAATAGACTCTCTTGATAACATGCCCAAAGTATGTGAGACAAAGCTTGATCATCTTTGCCTCCAAGGAGGACGCTGGTTACACCTTCTCCAAGACATATTTGTTTGTTCTCTTAGCAATCCATGGAATATTCAGTACTCTTTCTTCTTCCACACCACAAGTCATGGGGATGGATTCTTCTTTCACTCTTATTTATTGTCCAGCTTACAGATGCATAACAAGTGATTGAAAAGACCATGGCTGGAATCAGGCACACCTTAGTCCTCCAACTGACATCATTACTCCTCAATAATGTGGAGTGGTCCCTGACTACAGATTTTCCCAGTGCAATATGTTTCCTGATCTCTTGACTGCCAAGTGTGTTGACGGTCGATCCAACTAAGCTGAAGTTGTTGAGAATTTCAATCTTTTCTCCATCTAGCATGATGTTGCCTGTCGATCCAGTGGTGAAAATGCTTATTTTCTTGATGTTATGATGCAATCCATATTGATGGCATCGTTTGTTATGTATTGGACTGCTGACCCAAAATCTGGTGGTTCAAATCCTTCGGGCATGCTGTGGGAGAATAATGGGTAGTTTGCTCCCATAAAGATTTACATTCTTGGAGATCCATTGTTACTATGAGTCAGAATCAAGTCCACATGAGAAGAATGCCTGAATTGACAGATTAGCTCTCTACGTGAAATATGTAGTGCATGATTTCCTGGTAATTTGAATGAAACTGTTCATTCAAGCACTTTACGTATGTCAGATTTTTATCTTTCAGACTCACAAAGCTACATGATTCAAGACTTTGAATGTTTAGGGATCTTTTTGACAATTGCTCAAGAGAGGCCAGCCATACTTTTCAGACAGGCTTTCTACCTTGATTGCATTTTCTTTGTCATCTTTGTACAGCAGTCCTGAATTTAGATTTTTGCCTGGGCCCTAAATCATCATGTGTAATATGCTCAGATAACTCTCAGGAAATAATTTCGTTTGTATCTTTTCAAATTCAAACCAAATTCATAGCCTTTGAGTGGATACCAACTCATTGCCATGCTGTAGGACAGAATAGAGCTGAACCGTGGCGTTTCCAAAGCTGTAGATCTTTTCAGAGGACGTTGTCACATTTTTCTTCCATAGAATAGCTGGTGGGTTCAAACTGACAGCCTTTAGGCCAGCAGCCAAGCAGAGCTCTTAACCCTGTGTCACCAGAAGTCTCTTTTGTTGTTGCTGAGTGCCAGTGTGTTAGAAAGAGCCCATGGCTGACCCTCCTGTGGGTTTCCAGAGACAGTCAATTACGCAGGAGGAGATTGCCCATCCTTCTGTGAAGCAGCTGATGGATTTTAACTACGTGCGTTGGGATGGCAGTACTGTTCCTTATGACGAGGCCATCAGAGCTCCCTTTGCCTCTTTCAGGTAGTCTTATTCAAGCAAAACTTATTTCTCCTGAATAGTATTTTCAAGAGAATGGGATGTCTCCTTTCACAGCACAAACCAGAATATTATCCAAGGACATGGCTACTCTCTGAGCTCCGAGCTGTGCTTTAGACGAGCTCAAAACAGCCAGCTGTCTGTTTCTTTATTGAGAAGGTTTTCAGTGAGCATTATGAGTCTTGACTTTTGAGGACCAAGCCCATTTGGCTTCAGTACAGGAAGTCCTGCCCTAAATTGTCTTCTCCCAAGAGCTCCCCATCTCTTCCTCTGTTTGGGAAGCTGGTTCCTAGTTAATTGGGAACTCAGACTTTTGTCCCAACGGTGATGAAAGGTGGTTCCCAGTGACTTCACTTTACTTTGTCTTTTTGACATTGATGGTTTTTAATTTTGGAATTTTAGCAAGAAACAGAACTAGGTCAAGCTCTTAAGATACCTTATGTTACTTCTCTGACCACAGCTCTCAAAGATTGCTATTATTAGCCATGTTTTTAAAGAAAAACTAAAGTTAAAAGAAACTGAACATGTTGTTTAAAGGCTCAAACCCAGAAAAATGTCAGAGTGAGTATGTGAGCACTGACCCCTCTGACTTCAAAGCTCGTTCTGTTAACCTTCCCCCTTTCAATGCTGTCGGCTTGCCATGGAGGATTCAGAATATTACATCAAAAGACTGAAAAGAAAAGTGAGCCTGAATTTCCTTCTGGACGCACCTGGACACACTGGATGCAGGAGCCCCGGTGAGTCTGGCTCTCCCTTTTCTCTTTTCTAGCGATTTGCAGGAGAAGGAGAAGAAAGCTAAATGTGAAGGCTGAGCTTGAAAGATGGAGGTATACTGCCTACTTGGGACTCAGCAAACCACTATTCCCCCAATAAGTGATTAGGTGAAGAAGCAAAGTATTCGTCTCACAACTGCAGAAAACATGACTGAGAGGCCAGAACTAAGAAAAATTCTAGAGTTGAGGAGGAATACAGAGGAAGAAAAGTATTCTTTCCCCCCTCATCTCAGATTTCATGAGGAATGCTAGCTCCTGAGTCAGGGCTGTTACAGCTGAATTTGTCATGGAATGAGGAGATTTTTTTTTTTTTTGTAGCACAATACGTATAGGTTTCGATTATAATTAAAAAAATGTTGAAAATACATTTATTTACTATATAATTTAGATTTTTTTTCAAAAAACATGAAGTCCACCATTTTCTATCCTACATTGATTGGGTCTTGAAGGCAGAATAGAAAAGTATTGTTTACATACCCAGCCTCTGTAGGAGAAGACAGATGAGAGTCTATAACGAGACAAAGCTACTATTTTCAACCACAAGCGACACGATTCATACTATGAGCTGGTTCCAGGGCAGAAGAGATCACTGTTGAGAAGCCACCTTATGAGCTGAAAGCAGGCCCACATCTTCCTTTGAGAGAACTCACGTTATTAAAGTCTATTAAAAGCCAGAATCTTTCTCTCTGGTGGCTTATATGCACCTGTGTCATTCTCCTTTGTTGTGTCTTCTTTGAGTCATCCACTTTCCTCCCGGGCGTTCCGTAGGAAATATGTTAACAGATGTATGTACACAGACATACATACTTAACATTCTAAATATACTTAAGGCCCTGGTTTCAATTCTTCTGATCAGAAATGGTGAAAAATAAAATATAAAGCACTTCCTTTCTAGGATATAATATTTATTATGAATTGGGGATTAGTAGAGACAAATGTGTCCCTTCATTTAGAAGAGAATGGTAAAACACTTATCTTGCTTTTCTCTTTTTCCTCCTCTGATGGATTCCTGGGTTGAGTCTACAGATCTGCAGCCAGTTGGTTCTGAAACAGTAAATCCAGTTATTCTGACCACAACAGCTGTCTTCCTGAAATGTTGCCTTTGCAGGTCCGTTGCCTAATTGTGCCTCACTATAGAGAAGAAGGGATACAAATGTTATCCAGTCTACTGGCAGCTTGTAGACTCAGGAATACTCTGATAAGGGAAGTTGGCATCTTGCTATGTATTTATGTCTTCGTGGAGAACTACAATACATTTGATGAATTTCATCAGCACAGAAAAGGTTCAAAGTGGAGAGGTTCTTAGCCTGAACTTTGTGACGTGCTATATCAGATACAATGGATGATTTCCAAATCTCTATTGCATTTCATATAAAAGAAAGCCAGCCGAAGAAAACTACGCTAGAGAATCTACTTAGAAGAGTGACATTTTAGAAAGGGATTCTTGATATCTAGTAGAGGAAAGACCAAAATATTAATGATAACAATATATAAACACATTGTTGAGGAAAATAGTTGGGGGCATTGCTACTATTCAATGGCCAAGAGGCTATCTCTAGTGAGGATTTTTAAAAAATCAGATCTTTTTATTCTAGGTGATCGCTTAAGACTTTCTGTCTTGAGATTAAGTTAATTGCATCTACATATTTTACAAGTTTAAGCTACTCTGGAAATCAAAAAGAAAAACTTTACCATTTTGTCATACTGATTCCAAAATTATAATCATTTTGAGCTGGGTTAAAAAGAAGAAGGAACATGCAGCACGGCGAAACCACTGAGCAGTGAGGAGTGCATTTCAGTGCTTGACTTTCTGTGTGGAGGAAATGAAGAGCTGGTTGGATAAGCAGCATTAACTTTTGTGAATACTTAGAGGGCAGCAACGAGATCGCACAGTTAGGACCAGTAGCAAGCAATGGAAGCCAAAGACTGAAAATCCAAATTGCATTACAACTCTTAAGAAGTACTTCCCGAGCCCAAGAATGAACCTTTCTAGAGCTGACACAGTCCTGTGTTTCAGATTAGCTTTTATGCTAATATCTCACCTCACAATTAGGAAGATCAGTAAGAGAGATGCTATTCTTGTAAAAGACACCAAGCCAAGAAATGGTGGTGAAAATGATCCCTTAATCAGATGATAGTTCTAAAACGAAAGGTCAGAAACAGAGAAGCATATCCTTCACAGAAGTCTAGAAAGGTGTGCCCTTTCCAGAAAGTACTTTGACTGGAGGTAGCATTTACTTTATGTGTTGCTAAGATGGAGACAACAATTGATGGTTTTTCTTTGATGAAAAGTCATACATATTTGATTGGACACAAACTATTACACAGAGAGGGTCATCTTCTAGGGTGACTTCAACTCAATACCCCAGTGTGTCTCATTGGGCTTCTTCCTTGAAATTATGTACACAGCTGTCCTCTTGAGTAAAAAACTGAGAACTCCTTTCCTGCTTCAGTGCTTCCTATTGTTTGGACGCAGCCCCTCTAATGTGCAGAGCTGAGTTGCTTGACATAGTTTTGGTGACTCAGAAGCAGGCATTTCCTGGGGATTTAGATCCATCCACTTTTCCTCACAGTGACCTGCTTCCACGTGGATGGTGGAACTGCAATGAGGGTTTGAATGACAGAAGACTGGAAACTTGATTACGGCAAGGGAGCAGTTTCTACTTCCAGATTTTCTAGCTAAAAGGAGAAAAAAGAGCAAAGGCAGTCAGTATTTCTGATTCTGTACAGTACACATTGAGTGTCTTCTGTATGTCAGACTGAATTGAGAGTCTCCATGTATACAAATCACCGCCACCCCTTGATTTTTTTTTCTCAAATATCAAGACTCTCTTGAGATATTGCTAAAATACTCTTGCATTTTATACCTCCTCCATGAAGAATCGTAATTGTCAGAGACAAATTATTGATGCTTTTCTGGGAGAATATCCCAGAACTCTCTTTTCTGCTCTCCTTCATATCTTTCTCTCTTTTTATGCCCAAATAATTTGTGACTTGACAGGTATTAGGTTCTTATTTCTAGATAAAGTTATTCTTTTTACACACTTCTCAGAATCGGAAGTAATTGATGTAAAGTACTCAGAATTCTCCATCCTAAACTCCCTTGTAAAGCTAGTGTGTATGTGAAGCAAATTGTGAATCGGTTATTGTTGTTAGTTGCTGTTGAGTCAACTATGACTCAGCTGTGACTCACTGCAGCCCTGTGAACAACAGATCTGAACGTTGCTCTGTCCTGTGCCTTTCTTCCAATCTCTGCCGGGCTGGAGCCCAGTGTAACACTCACTGTGTCAATCTATCTGGTTGAGTGGGACCCTCTCTTTTACTAAACCTCCATATCTCCCAGCATGATGTTCCTCCCCCAAGACCTATTCATAGAAATATTTTTTTATTTCTAAATAAGAGTGAAAAATTTGAGAATAGAGGATGTTTTGTAGTTTTAAAAAGCTACTGTCATTTATGTTAGAGGTTCTTAGTGAAAAGGAGCAGAGTGTTGGCATTAAAATGAGAAGACAATGCTAACTTTAAATAACCTACCTTTCTATTTTGATAAATTTAAAACTTCCGACTCAGAGAAATTGCAAGGTTAATGAGTGCAAAGTACATGTATATACACATCAAGGAGAATCACATTCGTATCCCATTTACTTAATTATTATCATGTGTGCTCTCTCTTTGTCTACCTACACACACACACACACACACACACACACACACACACACACACACAGTATCTCCAGAGTCCTTTTAGAATTAGTTGGCCATTGAGCCTTAAATATTTTTGTTTATGTTTCCTAGGAACACACCCTTCCTTATTTGGAAAAAAGGATAGATAACTGTTGAAAGAGGTATTTCATCATGGGCCTTAAGCGATACCAACCGTCTTTACTCACTGTACACATGGCGGGACATTAATGTTCTCTCAATGAAGTCATGCCTGTTGGCCTTCACATAGGCAATTAAGTAGGTCAAGACATCTGCAGACCACTAATTATTTTTGAGGGACACATGTGCCCTACTTGCTACAAAAGATGCAAAGACCATAGCTTTCAACCTCTTTACTGTACCCCTTTTATGTGTAGTAATTTGATCCATGTATACCCGTCTGTATTACTAATAATAACAACAACATATATGTATGAATTCCATTCCCTTTGTTGAGGATTCAAATCTAGAGGGTTGTTCTACTGAGAGATATGATGATTCCTACACATTCTAGGGTCAACTTAAGTTACCATAGCCTAGAATAGTAAATAGTCCATAAACTAAATCAGCAGGTAAGATTAAACTTTCTGATCACGATGGATCATATACTGCCTCATACTGTATTTTGCATGAACAGATAGGTGTGTTTGGATTAATATTATTAGTCAGGTAGAAAAATCTATCAACAATTTATCTTCACTATGTGAAGGGAGGGTGCTTGCTAAATGACATCTAAACTAAGAGCTCTGGTGACCTTGTGGTAGGTACTGTGTCCAACCCTAAGGCCTGTGATTTGAGTTCACCAGCTCTACAGAAGGAGGGGCAAACTCTTGTGCAATTCACAGCCTCTGAAAACCCGCTGGAGGGTCAAGTGTAAATTGGTTCTGACTTGACCGCACGTAACAACAACGCTCAATTGCACCTGATGCAAGCTGTGGTATTTTTAAATGAAGCTGTTATTAATTTTTAGCCCTGAAGTGTCTCAACCGTGAAGGTTCTAATTGTGGCACAACCTCGTGTGTGTGTGTGTGTGTGTGTGTGTGTGTGTGTGTCAGTGTGTGTTCATGCGCACGTGCATGCATGTGTGTATTTAGCAACAAACTGGCGTGTTGCATTGTGCTTTGGGTCTTGAGAGCTTGAAAAGTAGTGTTAGTGCACTGATTCTCCTGCTGTGTGCAGAGTCTATTGGGAGAATATAAATGCTCACCTGATCCATGGTCTGTTTTTTCAGCGACCTGTGTGCTTGCATTGATGTCTCTACCATCACAATACAGTGACACACTTCAGGGAATTGGACCTAGACACAATGCTTCATTCTACCTTTCATTTTTCAGTTTTGTCAATATTATCTCAAACCGTTGTTTCTCTTGGAAGTCAGTGATCAGATCTTCGTGGGCTATTTTGTTTTGGCCTAGTTTTAAGAATAAAATACTAGGATAACTGAATCTGAAGCTGGTGTATTTTACTCTTTGTACACCCAATGATGAATGTGTATTTCCTCCAGTTTGGGAGCTGGAGGGCATTTCAGAGATTGTCTTTTGAAATGTCATCAATCTATGGAAGAACTGGAGGCCTAACAAGGTGTAGTGCTGTGCCCAAATGTGCACTTCAGAAGAGCTGGTTTAATATTTGTCATTTAGCGCCCAGAGTAAGTAGACCTCGGGGGCCTCTAGGACCATATGCTGAAGAAAGCCAGACTAGGTAGGAACTTTTCTTGTGTATCATGACCTTCTTACTTAATTTTTTCTATTTTTTTTATTATTTCATACTGATTTATTTAAAAGGTTTGAATACATTGTTTTTCACACTAGATCCTTCCTATTTCTTTCCCTTCCAGTAGCATATTTTTATTCTGCCCATAAATGAACATTATTTTCAGCGTTGAAGATATGTTTATATAGATAAATTATTTAGATAATTTATTAATTTTTTTGTATGTACAGAGGTATTTTTTTGCTTGATACAGAAATTTTGGCAAGGAATAAAATTGAAGAGGAAATAAAATCATTTATATGGAGATATGCCTCCATAAAGGATAAATGTTAACATTTCAATGCTTATTATTCCTCTATTTCTCTTTGCATTTTTTTTAAATGTGTCCTAGGCATGAAACAGCTTTAGCCACAACCTAGGCATCAAATAAATAAAGGACTGAACCTGCTCTGCCCAATTGATATAAGAGAGAGGCCACCAATCAGGTGTCTCCTTGGCCATAACCAGGGGTTCAGATAGAAACTCTTAAGAGTGAGACACTATGTCTTCAGAATAACACCCAAGTCACGCTTTTGGACAGCTACTGCCCTCCACTTTAATTTTCTAATTCTAACTTTTGATGCCATTAAACTTGTAGTTGTAGATGATTCTAGGCTGAGCTGTTTTTGAAGCTGATTAGTGTTTTAGTCAGCAGCAATCTTAAAAATATCTTTGCCCCACAGCTCATAAAAACAGAGCCAGATTAGTAAATGAAGCAATCCCAAGCCCTTTGGAGTTGATGATTCATAGGCATTGATCTTTATTCATCTAAGTGGTAGAGAACTCATAGCCTTCTTCTGAGCTGCACTGCCTGGAACAGGCATATTGGGACCTAAGACACAATAAACGGACACACATCAGTAAAGGAGAATTCCAGGCAAAGTCAGGTGATCTGACAATTGAAAGGGGTTTAGGTTCCAACTGCTATATGCTTCCTCTAGCTTTTAGTATAGACTTAACTTGCCCATTGTAATAAATCTCTTCTCTGCTGAAGTGAAACTCCAGTGATTACTTTGGTTGTCAAGTAGAAACAGGCCCCTGGAGTCTGGAATGGTGTCATCAATCAAACCTAGCAATGAGTCAGATTTCTTTGACAGTCGAAGGCGTTAGGGAACTTGTGTTTATGAAACGATCCCTTAGGATGTCACAGGAATGGGATGTCACATTCGCACAGTTGCTTATCAGGAGAGCTGGCTTCAGACTTGAGCCTCCCTGGTTTGCGCTCACAAGATATACTAGAAATCCAGCTTCGGGAATGCTTTCTGTGGTGCAGGATAGAGGACTTCTAACGGAAATCTATTTTCTGCAAAGTTGTTTCATTCAAAACAAAAGAGCATGCCATTTATAAGGCTGCTGCTTTTTCTTTTTCTTCTTCTTCTTTTTTTTTTTATACTTCTACCCTCTAACTCATAGAAATAGAAGAATATTTGACTTTTTTTTGTTGTTCTGGAATGGGACATAAACCCAAGTTTGACCTGCTTTTAAAGAATAGTTTATATTGATTTGTGTACAAAATTAATATTTATTGTGTTTCATTCATGTGCACTGTGTTTCACACTTTCTTTCCTTTACATTGTGTTTCATATGATGATTCCTATACATTGTAATGACAGAATTAATCATCACTGAAATGTGCCCACTGTTACTTCATCTTTTCAGGTTCTCATTGGATCTTTCCTAATTCCGTCACCCTCTTCCCTCAACCCACCAAACTTTGCTGTAAGGGTTATTATTGTTGTTGTTAGGTGCCATCGAGTCATAGACGACTCATAGCGACCCTGTGAATGAAAGGCCTGAGCATTGTTGATAGTTTCCGGAGGCAAGCCATTTTGGAAGTGGATGCCACTCGTGCTTCCAGGGTTGTTATTATTAGCAATATGTAATTACAAATCAATAAAAAATATTTGTTCATGATTGAAACCCGGAAGTGTTAAACTCCAAAGCAACAAAACAAAAGTTAAAATGCAAATGGAACCTAGCATGCTATATTCTCAGAGATAGCAAGTGAGGATGTTGAGACTTGACTGTTTATGCTTTGGGCATGTTACTGAGAGAGGCCAGTCCCTGCAGAAAGAAATTATTCTTGTAAAGCAGGAGATCTCCAAAAAAAGGAAGATGCTTAATGAGATGGATTGGCGCCGTGAATGCAGCAACGGGTTTAAACACCGCAGAGATTGTGAGGATGGTGCAGGATCCAGCAGGGGTCCTTGTATGTACAGAGGATT